TCGGATTGTGGGACGTACGCTGACCGCCTCGCACGAGGTTCACAAAGAAGAGTGAGAGGGAAGGAGGGAGAGAGAGAGAGGGAGGACTCACGAGATCGGGGAGAAGAGGAGAGAACGCAAAGAAAAGCTCTCTCTCGCTCTTCTCTCTCTCTATCTCGACTGCCTCGCCGGCTTTCCACGGCCACGAATCGATACCACGCGACCGTCGCCGCGTCGGTCGTTCCTCTCTCTCGACCTCTTCTCGACGCTCGCTACACTCGTGCACGACCACTCGCCGCGTCGATTTTTCCTCTCAAACGCGCTTACCTCGTGTGGCCCTTCCCCGCTCGTCGTCCTCCTCGGTGTCGTCGTTCTCCATCCTCGGCTCCACCACGGGATTCTTCGTTCTCGATATTATACACTCGCGCGAAATTACGGTGGATGTGTACGATCGTGTTGCACCATTTTGACAACGGCTGTCGCGTGACGTTGCCGCGTGCGCGTCAATCGATATATAATCGATGCGGACGGTGAACCAATCGGAACGGCGCGAGATCGAGAATCGAAGCAGCGCTCTTGTGGCAGAGTCAGGAAACCCGCCAAAATAGCGGGCAACGGTCTGTCAGCGTTCGAACGTACGGTCTCCACGGTCGAGGATACGAGAATAGACGTTAAAAAGTGATCCCGTGTTTCACAGTGCGAGGCAAACGAGGAAAAGTCAAAAGGCAACGAGAGGCGAAAGGAACGTTGTTGATCGGGCCCGCGTTCGTAGTGTTTTGTTTATTCGTCGAAGAGAATCGGTCACTGGATTACCTCGTAGTGCGTATAGTATCTCTGTGTGTCACGTGACGATCAACGTTTGTTTATTTTGGTGCTTTTTATCGCTATTTATCCTGTTTGGCTACCTCTGCCGGCCTTTCCCACGAAATACTGGAATCACCGACAACAACCTTCTCTGGTCGCGGATGTTCGTCGGCCTCGCCTCTGTCGATCCTCGAAAAGTAAGCAAACATTTTCCTACTGTTTTCTTGCGTTCGTAAACATGGCTCGTTAAAACCTGTCGCGGTTTCCTCCGCTAATCCGAACTTTGTTCCGGAATTATTGTGCTTATAAATTACTCGCTTGGCGTACATCCAAATGGTCGATGCTGCTAATTTACCTATACGTTTTCATTAGTACGTGAGCCAGACTCGTTAATTCGAGAATCGCAACTTTCGATAATTTGCGCGAACGCTTCGCGGAATACGACCATCTTCGCTACTTACAACACCGGACGGATTCCGTCTCGTTTCAATCAATTTAACGACAGTTAGAATTATTATATCGGGACACGATAGATTACATTCGCGTGGCGCGATGTGTGTGTGTGTGTGTGTGTGTGTGTGTGTGTATGTAATTCGACTCGATTCGAAGCGAGAGTAAACTTAGATTAGGTTGTGACAGGAAATTTAATCGCACGATCGAAATGGATATTATTCCTCTCCGAGATTGCCCCGGTGCTAATCGTCGAGCGAGATATCGTGGTTTTTATGGAAGAGAGGTATTTTTATCGCGCGTTCTCCCGTCTAAACGCGTCGACAAAGCCCGTGACAGAACGCCGCCGGCGACTTTGTAGATCGTTCGCACAGCGAGATGTTTTGTTCCGCAGCCGAGGAATTAATCGATCGTAAAGAGGCTAATGCGAACGATACGCCGGCCACCGTGCACGAAGAACATTTGACAAAGGAAAGCGATATATCCATGCGGGCGTATTCTCTTCCCTTATCGCCTCGCAAAAGACGCCGCGTCCTTCTCTAAATAAATGTTATTCCTTGCCAATCCTTTCGTCTCCCCGTCTCCGTACGGGGACGAACCCTTATCCGGTTTGTTTTTTTTACCCTTTCAACATCCTCGTACATACATATGTAACAACTTCTTCGGGATTTCTGTTTATCCGTTAATCCGCAATTGCCTTTTGTAACACGAAGGAGAAACATTGTCAGAAACACACGTATACCTCATAGCTGGTCCACGTGTTCGATTTCGATCCCTCTTCTTTCGCTTCAGGACCATATTATTATTAACCGATTTTTGAAACAACACTGATTCTTGTTTATTTAATATATAATTTTAGTAAAAGAGAAAAATTTTTTCTCAAGATTTACCTTATTATTCGACAAAATCTTTTTATTCTTCCAATCAATTCGGATAGTCTACTATACGTCCTACTATAAAATACGTATTTTCCTATATCTCGGAGTGAATTAAACGACGCATCGATCGGGACGGACACCAATACCGTAGATTAACATTTCTCGAAGGAGAGACGCACAATTGTGACGTGCAGCGGAGAGAAAGAGAGAGGAAGAGAGGAGTCCAGCAGGAATTGAAAAATCGATTTCGAGTCCCGGGCGTTAATAAAAGATTGGACGTCGAACGTTAGACGGACAAAATATAGGGTAGGGAATCTGTAATTTCGTTCTTGGTGGGATTCTCGAGTTCTCCGACGTCTCATTAGATTTTATCGCGGCGGGGGTTCCACGGGGCTATAGTCGAGTACCGGATACTTGAGACTTTATTCCTGGCCCTATAGTCGAGTTACCGAAAGTTACATACTTCTGAAAAGTCTCGCCAGATTTCTATTGCTTTCGGGGAAAACGCGACCGACTCTGACCAACGGCAACATTATTATAAAATTCGCGGATTCTGCTGCGCGATTACCTTCGAATATAAGGTTGGAAGAGCGGATAATTTGCAGTGACGTTCAACTCGTTGATATATCGGCCTGTTCCAAAAATTCTTCTCAAGTTTTCCGCTGCGTGGGTTTCCCGTGTTTTTCTGGAAAATTTTACGATTCCATTTTTTTTTTTTTTAGAGTGATCGAGAAACAAAAGTATCATTTATAATTTATTATTTTTATTTTTATTAAAATTGAATTTGAATCGAGGGTGAATAATTAACAAATTCATTTAACAGAATATCGTTTCGACGTAATTTTCAGTTTTGTAACAATTTAAAGTCTCGTTTCCATCTCGTGTCGTTATATTTGAAGAAAAAAGACACTGGTTTGTTTCACCCGTTAAAAAAACTTTTAAAATATAGAAAATAGTTACAAAAAATGATATTTGCACATCATTTTATTCATTGTAGCATTTGTTAATAATTATTGAATACACGTATTACATTTCATATCGTTTAGTGATATTTCCGTATGATTATTAAAATTTGATATTACGGAAATGGATGTAAAATATACAAAATTTGATTTTATTCCGATAGAAACGAGGCTCTGGTAAAAACAAAATTGCATCATATATATAACTTATTATATGCTATTATGCTTTTTTACGTATTCATAAAATTCTATATTGAAAATAAATAAAATTTTTATCCTTTAGTTTTTCAATCTTCTGCCAGGAAACTGTTTTATTAAAAATTGAATTTTCGTTCGTTTGTTTCGACAATTTATTAATAGAATTTCATAAGAATTTCGTCTGTTTTTTTTTTTTTTTTTTTTTTGAAATTTCACCTGCAATTTTCATTATTCATATACACACGTAATCTAATTTAATAGCACAAGTTTAATCCAGAAATAGGATTCGCACAAATTTTTAATAACAAGACGTATAACAAATTTGGAAAACGATATCGTACGTTTCAACGATGTATACAAAATAGAGCTTCGTTTAATCCTTTTTATATATCATAAAGTATACTATTACGTATAAAAGAATCTGTCTGCATATATATATATAGTGGTAATAAAATCTTCGTAAGTCTGTGTGTTTTCAGATACAATTTACTTTCTCCAGTTATATCGTTCTCTCTTTCTTTTTCCTCGTGCGCTAGATTAAAACCAGAAAATAATGCTCGAACGACGGTTTAACGAGAAAGATATTTCTAACGAGATACACAAGTTCTTATAAAAATTTCGAACAGATATTCCTCGCAAGTACAAATTACTTAATGATACTTCGTGTCGAAATATTTTTCATCAAAAATCGTCTCGGGATATAGAAAAGGTACATTCCCGTTCGAAGAAATGAAACATCTAAATTCCCTATTTTTTCAGAAATCGATATCGATCCCCGATTATTATTATTATTATTATTATTCAGACAAGGAATTATTCGGTTCCAAAAATCTCGTATCATTTCGGCCAACCAGATTTACGGATTCTGGGTCGCGTCGTGGCTATTTTTTTTCTCGAAACGTCTCCGTGATTGATCGATCGACGGGCGGAGAAGGTTGTTCCTTCCCCCGTGCCGATGAGGTTGCGGTATATTTATTTTTACCCCGAAGAAGGAAACAAGGAACAAGAACTTTGCCTTATTGTTGGATTCTGTCAAGTTTGTTCCCAACTACGCACTGCCAGATATATAAAGTTTCCCGCACGGCACTCGCCGTGTACTTTAGCGCGCTTAGCACGGCAGAGACAATATTGACTCGGCCGTGTCTGTCTCTCTCTCTCTCTCTCTCTCTCTCCCTAGGAAAAGCTGGCCAACTTTATTTTCAAGGGTATCGGCCGGATCGTTGAATTAACTATCGTTTCTTCCATTGTTTCCATTGTCTACACAATGTTTGGAGGAAATGTTTGAATCGATCCATTCGTTGAAATCTTTTTTTTTTTATTATCGATCTCGAAATTTTTATCGAAGGATGATTTCCGAAGCGATTGGAATTTTTTTTTTTTTTCTAATAAATTACGCGTTAAAAAGGAAGTTCGTTGCCCAATTTCGAACCAAATTGTTATATCGATTTATGGGTTAAATCTAAATATACAGGGCGTTTTGTTCGAGATTGCTTTATTATTATTCGCAGCGAGGGAAAAATGTTTGTGTACGGATTAAATTTAAACTGGTCGTGCGATTACAATTAAATAAACGCCGTGTTGTTTGCGCTTAAACAAATTTTGATCGATCGACCGACAATTGGAAGCTGTATCTTCGTTTTAGGAAATGCAACTTTTCCCTTCGTTTCTTCCCTTTTATTAATTTACTCTCGATCCGATAAAAATCATCCGTGAACTTTAATTTCATTCGAAAATTGCGCGATTCGATCGACCAGCTAAAAGTTCCTCGTGAAATGTAAACGTGGCTTTAGCCCGGCGAGAGAGAAACTTATCTCGGGGCAAAGACCAAAGGTAAACTCGCGTCTTACAGTTGCGAAGAATCTGTGTTCGTTCTGCATACAATGCGCACACGAAAAATATTTGCATTTCAAAACAAAGCGGTCCCCAAAGCGTCAAATTTTATTACGATATTTCCACGGGGAATGGGGCTCTTCCATAATGATATCGTCAAAAAATTAACGAAAAAAAAAAAAAAAAACTTTAATATCTATCAAAAAACCGATTCACACGATTTTCGAACGACGACATGCTGTTCAACGAGAGAAACCGTTCTCCAACGATGTTCTTTCGGATTGATTAATACGGCCACCCTTCGAAACTGTTTTGCCGACCCCTTTTTCAGCCCGGCTCGTTTCGCGACGACAGTCTCATCTCCGATTTTATGCCTCGTTTGACCCCCCCTCGCTCTCGCCCCTCGCAGGCACGAAAATCACAGGCCACGGGTCCCGAATGGTTTTATTTGGTATTTAAATAAGCGCGCTGCTCTCGGACGACAAGCTCCTTCGATTATTTATGGGCATCGGTCAATTATACACGAACGATCCCTACGTTGCCGACCGCGCATAGGGAAATGGATACAATTCTAAGCGGGACCACGTGCGTTTCGTGTATTCAATGTCAACGAGGGACCAGTTTTTAAAGTGATACTTTTTTTTTTCTTTCTACTAAATACTAAACTAAATTTAATCGCAACGTATCTTAAAAATTTTCCTAACCTAAAACCCTTCCCGCCAAAAAATCAATCTCAATTGCGAAAAATTCCAACGATAACAGTATGGGGGGAGAGGGGGGGAGGGTGGTAGAGTCGCATGTGCGCGTAACTACGTATCTATCTATCTATCTATCCGTGCGCCAAAAACGAGTTCATGCCGCACGTGAAACTTTGCTTCC